CCCATAAGAAATATGTCTATGTCATCATTGGATGTGCAATCATGGGCCATGTTCTTTGTTCTCAGTTAACACAGGCACCCTACGCAAGGTCCTCCTCACAAACGCCACTGTTTAGAAGGTGGATGCTGTACAGAATGTGTTGCAGTGGTGAGGCATGAGGGAGCTGAAAGAGAAAAAGTGAGTTACCTAATTTAAAAATTCACACTGGGATTTGCATTCGTGTGTATCTGCTATATAACAAACCACCACAAAATCTCAGTGGTATACAAAAATAAGCATTCATTTTTTTCAGATGTCTTTGGATTGGGTAATTTTGGTTGGGTTCAATTGGGTGGCTCAGTTGAGTAGAAGTGGTGGTTTGCTGGACAACGCAGGTCCACACGTCTCTCATCCTCTTTCTAGCACTATGGGCTAACCTGGGCATATTCTTCTCCTGGTTGTGGCAGAAACGCCAATGGAAACACATGAGGCCAAGGTTTGGGATTGGCTGGTTGGAGTTTTTCCTCATTCTACTGATCAAATAGAGTTATGTGGCCAGGGAGTCAAGTGATGCAGAGGTATACTCTACCCCTTTCGTGAGAGGCAGTAGAAAGTCACATAGAAAAGGAGGTGGATTTAGGGAAGGTAAGAAACAGGGGTCAATATTGTACTGGGGCATATTGTCTTTGTGACAAACTTCCTGAATCCAAGACTTGAAGTAAACACCAAATCACACTTACTCTTCAGCATATTTACAACTGTTTTCCTTTCTTTCTTTCTTTCTTCCTTCTCCCCCTCCTCCCCCTCCTCCTCCTCCCCTCCCCCTCCTCCTCCTCCTCCTCCTTCTTTTTTGCTGAGGAAGATTCACCCTGAGCCAACATCTGCTGCCAATCTTCCTTTTTGTATGTGAACTGTCACCACAGTATGGCCACTGACAGACAAGTGGTGTAAATCGATGCCTGGGAACCAAACCTGGGCCGCTGAAGCAGAATGCACCAAACATAACCAGTAGGCCACCAGGTCTGGCCCTACAACAGTTTTTTAACCAGTGGTGAAGCTATATCACCGATGATGAAACACTAACAACAGAGCATCTACCAGCATTAGAACAATGCAGGAAAGCTCCCCTGAGATACATCTGTGTGAAGAATGACCAGGATCAGCAAGTCCATACTGTTCAATGAACTCATATGGCTCATGCAATGAACTCATATGGCTAATGATAAGAATCCCATGGAAAATTCATATGTGAAGAATCTCTTAAAAACTGATGCTGTGTGTCATTAGCTCTCAGCTCATGCATCACAAAATTAAAGGCATTTCAATCAGCTGTAGAATTAGACGTAAGTTTGACTGTTAGGATACTACACATCACCTGTCCACACAGGGTGGAGGACACGCAGTGTAGGTTTTGCAGGTACATGTGGTCAAAGGGTGAGCATCCTTTTTCTCTGTGACCCTCACATGCTAATGTGCCTACAAGAGACTCATCTTCGAATGGAAAGAATTGAAAACTGTGGATCCCTTCTGCCATAATTATATTCCAAACAAGACGTCATGTTCTTTTCGGTTCTAGTTTGAGCTGTACTGGCTTTCCACCCAAACTGATATGTGCCAGGGGGGTTCTTAAAAGTCCAGGACAACTTTAATTCACTTTTTATTTGCATCATTAGCATAAATACTCTTTCTAGGGTGCAAGGATTTCTTTGAAATTATAAATAGTGTTTTGTTGGATTGTCAGACAAAGAAAATGCCCATATGGCAGGAAATGGTTGACTTAAAAATGATCCATATCAAAGAGGGGGCTATTTAAAATTCCATCTCCTTTCCTAAGCTAGTTGACCCCCTTTGCAGATTCATACTTGGACAGGTGTGTGTAGGAAAAGGTCCTGACCTATGATCCAAAGGTCCACACCTATGATCCGGAGCAGGTACTGACCAGGTCAGTTTAACTGGGGACCTAGCACCGTCATTTCACTCTGCCAAAAATGAGGTGTGGCCATGTCTTACCCCTTGTGTTGTCTGAGACGTTATTTCTGTTTCACGTTCCTTAGAAAAGACGTGGGGGGCTCTTGAAATGTCCCGCGCTGTCCATATGTCTACCTAAAAACTGCTGGCAACTTCCCCAAGACAGCCCAACACGGCCTGTTCCAGGATATTAGGGCGGTTTTCCAAAGCTGAAAACGAACAGCCTTTGCTTCCTGAAACCGATGGCTCCATGGAGGAAACTTCCAACCCCAAAACAAAGACAACTGTCCCCAAATCTTCTGCTCCTTTTATTAAATTAAAAATGTATAAAGGGAGGGAAGCCAAGAGAGTCTGAAACAGCAGAATATGCCTTTAAAGTTCTGAATAGATGACCATAAAATGTGTCAACAGAAAGGAAAAAACATGCTAATTCCAAGTTCATTAATAACTAGCAACAAAAGGTCTTAATTTTTGCCTATATTTTATAATCTTTCTTGAAAAGGTGAATACTAATAAACTCCTTGATTTCTTGAGACTACATTATTACATTATTACTTTAAAAAACAATTTCAATTATTACTAAGATTATTACTTTAAAAAAATAATTTCAATGGCTTGATGATGTTTCTCACTGAAGTGACAGAAGGAATGATGAAAGTGGAAAAGAAAAAGGAAATTAACAGAGAGAATCAGAACTGAGGAACATCCTTTTTCTCATTAGTGTTGTACAAATGGGATTGACAATCCTGACACAGATATCTTCTGTTAGTTACAAGAAATAAAGAAAATGTAATCAGTGTATTTGTGGAACAGCAAAGATGGTATTAAGCTGCTTAAGTCATTAAACTGCTACTCTAGCTTTAAAATTTGAAAGAAAAATCTTAGAATGGCATACCTATTTGCAGAAGCTCCAAGTTCAGAACTTGGCGTTCACCATGAACCACTGTATCTGAACACCTATAAGTTTAGTTCCTTATAATGCAGATTTATGCGAACTCTGAGTTTAAGCAAAAATATAAGGAGAAAAATGGAACCAACAACGGAGGTGGTCACCTTTGACGAGCCCAGTTTCTGCAGTTCTGAAAAGTGTGGAAAGGAAATAAGACTAATTTCTACTTGAACGTGTAGCCAGTGGTAGGTTATATGTAGGGTTTTGTCAATGCAAATCAGAAAGTCACATGATCTGAAAACGAATTTGGGGCCAACTCAGATCATTCAGATAAGACTAGTGATCTTCATGTTTCTGTTGGTCTCAGCACACAGGTGACCTGAGGCCAACTTGTTCCACACTTAGAGTTGACCTGGATGCATCCAAAGGGGAAACGGGCATGTTTCCTCTCTCAAGGGGCGTGGCACATATGTAATTTTCTCATGCAGATCCTCTGCTGTTTTTCAGTCTCTCGTTGACCTAGTGAAGCAGGGAACAGTTCTGTGGAAACTTGAAAGCAGCCCTGGGTTATAGACACGCTCACTCACTCCACAAACGCATATCAGGCTCCAAACATCGGCCAGGCATGGTGTTGAGATAACGGGCAGCAGTGAAAAGGACAATGTTTCTACTCTCTTAAGATTTGTTGACTGGCTCATGGAATGCACAAATAGCTGGTGTGTTGATATTGAAAGATGCCTAAAGGAAGGCAACAATCACAGATAGTCTAACAGGAAAGCACAGGGACACTGAACACTCTCGGAGCAGAAAAGGCTCTCAGAGGAGCTGAAAATCTATTGTCACCAAGGAGAATCAGGGTGATGCTGGCACAGGGAGTGGAGAGGGAGAGAGAGAAATAGCGAGATGTGTATGGAACCCTATTCTGGTTTTCTGTTCTTGGTGAGTTGATGGAGTCTGTACACTGGGGGAATGGGGAGCAATTCTGATTTTTTGTCAAATGGCTGCAAATGGCAATAGTTACCATTGTGCATGCAGAAAAGCCTGAGCTAGCCCTACAAGACTGTCTTAGATTAGACTCTTTTGATCAAAGGTATAGCCTTTTCTAAACAGTTTAATGGCCTATCATCTCAATCTCTTTGGATCAAGATAAGACATTTAATAACGTTTACCCTTTTTTTAACCTTTAAGAGTGTTGCTGGGGATCCAATGTTTGTTCTGGTATTAAAATTTTATTTTGCAATTAAAAACTTCTACCACTTACCCTTCTTTCTTTTAAAAAGATAATGGTTAGGATATAAATACTCGGTCCAAAATGATTGGCGTTATGATCCCTTAAAACCTAATAGTTTATAAAATATATGAATTTTTGTATTGAAATAATAACAAAGACACAAGTCAGTGTCTTCTTAGATTATCCACTTATGCTCTTTATACTTGGCAGCAAAAGTATTCTGTATTTTTCTATTTTTTCTTCCATTTTACAGTGTAAAAGTGATCTGATATAACTTTATATTCTCTAATTTGGACAAGATCAATGTAGATGTAGAAATTTTATTTGAAAATTGTCTGCATTTTCCTCAAAGTATGTTATTCTTCTCTGTCTCAAGGGCTGTTTTTTTATAGCTTTTCACTGTGTTCTTTTTCTTCTGTAATCAGCAATGTCATTCCATATCTGGCACAAGATAACTGAATGTTGACAGAAGTTTTAAGCAGAGTTCTATTAAAATATAGAACTTTGATGGGGCCAGCCCGGTGGTGCAGCGGTTAAGTGCGCACGTTCCGCTTCTCAGCGGCCCGGGGTTCGCAAGTTCGGATCCCGGGTGTGGACATGGCACCGCTTGGCATGCCATGCTGTGGCAGGCATCCCACATATAAAGTAGAGGAAGTTGGGCACGGATGTTAGCTCAGGGCCAGTCTTCCTCGGCAAAAAAGATGAGGATTGGCAGTAGTTAGCTCAGGGCTAATCTTCCTCGAAATATATATATATATATATATATATATATATATATATATATAACTTTCCCTAATAAAATAATTAGTAATCTCTTCTCAGCTATAATTTTTAAAAATACCCTCTCTGATTCTGGCACATTTCAAAATCAATTGGGAGATGGAAGGAGAGTTAAAACATGTAAGGTAATCAGGTGCGCGAGGCTGTGCACAGGACCAGACTCCAGCCCTTACCGTCCTCGAGTCTCGGCCACCCTCGCTCTGCCGCCTGCCGCCTGCACTCTGTCCCCCACCTCTTCAGCCAGTCATGCTGGAGCACCTGAGCTCGCTGCCCACGCAGATGGATTACAAGGGCCAGAAACTAGCTGAACAGATGTTTCAAGGAATTATTCTTTTTTCTGCAATAGTTGGATTTATCTATGGGTACGTGGCTGAACAGTTCGGGTGGACTGTCTATATAGTTATGGCCGGATTTGCTTTTTCGTGTTTGCTGACACTTCCTCCATGGCCCATTTATCGCTGGCACCCCCTCAAGTGGTTACCTGTTCAAGACTCAGGCACAGAAGACAAGAAACCAGGGGAAAGAAAAATTAAGAGGCATGCTAGAAATAATTGACTGGGCTTTCATGATTCGGCTTTACTATTGCACCTGCTTTTGTTTCGTATGAGATGAGCTAAATTTCACACCCAAAACATGGGCTAAAACCCATCTATGCTCTTACAGCACAGCTGTGTTAAGATTTTGTTCTCTTTATATTTCACTTCTAACTCAGTTGGGTTTCGATTTATAAATGTTTTAGATCTTCTCTTCATAATCTTCCTCTGAAATGGAGAACAGAAAACACAAGTATGCAAAGTTTCTTTCAGGTCTACAACAATAATGAATAAATGATAGTACAATCTAACTATCAAAGTTTTATAATTCATTATTAGTAGTTAAGCTGTTTTAACGTTTTCAATTAAAACTCACAGTGCAAGTCTTAAAAAAAAAAAAAAAATGTAAGGTAATCACACCACAACTCCATCCTTAAATTCTCAATCTTTTCTCCTCAAAGGATATTTCTGATTTTTTAATTTCAGTAGACTCTTGAATAGATTTGTTCTGAATGCTCACCTCAACTCAGTGTAGGTCAGTGTTACCCATAACACAATTCCTCCTATAACAGATATTGCCTAAAAACATCCTCAATTTTCGCACCACTCATTCAGAGCCTTTTATCACAGTGCAACTCTCTGGATTGTGGTATAAAAGCAAAGCAAAGTTCCTGTGTGTTCCAGTAAACACTTAGTTTTAATGTGGTGATTTGTAAAATCTATTAACCTTTCTACTTAATAGTTATTAATATCAGTATGCATCATTAGTTGCAGCAAAAAGAAGCTTTATTGAGCCAGCTCTGGTGGCCCACCAGTCAAAGTTCTGTGCATTCCCCTTCGGTGGCCCAGCTTAGGTTCCCGTGTGTAGAACCAGAGCACTCAGCAGTCAGCGGCCATGCTGTGGCAGCGGCTTACACAGAAGAACCAGAAGAACTTAGAACTATACACAACTATGTACTGGGGCTTTGGAGGGGAATAAAGAAGAAAAGAGTAGGAAGATTGACAACAGATGTTAGTTTAGAGGAATCTTTCTCTGACCAAAAAAACTCACTTTAATATTGATCACAATTGGGCAGCACACCTCTGAGGTGCTGTGACATCCTGATCATGAAACCCTGACCCAGAACAAATGATGTCTCTGACAGACAGGGTGTGCATTTTGGATAAGTTTCACTTGATGGCAAGGGTAAGCTGTTACAGAAGCAGTGGCTGGATCCACTGGGTTGGAAGACACTTCTCATGGCTCTCGTGTTCCTCCCCACTTCAATCCGTCTGAGCAAAGGATTGTTAGACCAGCAAACACGCCCTATAAGTTAGAGATCATGAATCCCTCTGGGAGGTTTGAGGTACGTCTCCTTTGGTGGGGACACCCCAGGATGATAAACCAAGAGATCCTGCCCCTCTCTCTTTGAGAAGTTGGCTTCCTTTCTGGGATAACGAAGTTTTTCTCATCAGAGGGGAGGCCATTTAGAGGCGATAGCAGTCCAAAAGAAAATAACAAAACAAAACCCAGACTCCTAATTTAGGGGTCCCTTCCACACAGTGCCGTCCTCTTCTCCTACCATATCATCCCACGGGACGTGGGACGTGAGGAACCGATGCAGTGATTACTCTGGCCGCTGCTTTGTGCTGGGAGCAACACACAGTGTCATTCTCTGACCCTGGGGTCATCTGTCAGCATACGTCTAGGAAATTGTGGCTGGCAAACTTGTTAGCTTGCAGGCAGAGTAAAATTTCAGATCCTTTACAGTTTCAGACTTAACACATTTGCGCACAAATAAAACACAAATGTTCTAGAGCAAAATATAAAAGACATAGAGTACCCAGATCCAAAATAGTGAAGAAACGACTTACAGATTCACTCCTATTTCTACGACTCCAAACTTCATACGCATGATGCCTGGGACCAGAGAAATTTAAACATTATTCAAAGTCTCTGTACAGTTTCTATGCTAATTATATTTACGGCATTGCCTCCTGAGCAACTCGTCAAAAGAGAGAAGAAATTAGAAAAAAGCGTCAGGTGGCTTGGAGTCGGGATTTTCAAGGTCAAGATTTGGAAATAGCAAATACATCAAAGGAGGCAATTCAGGTACCAGTGATGTCTAAATTAGGATGTCAAGACAGATTTAAGATCAGAGGTCAGAAGCCTGAAGTGGCATAAGAAGGATACTTAAGCTGACACATGATACAGCTTCAAAGGAAATAATGACAAGGAGGAACGGCGAGAGTTTAAATACTACTTGTAGCTGGTAGAGAGCCCTGCTTTCTCCCTGCTCTGGATCCTCAGAGGCTCCTTCAGACAACAATAAAGTTGAAACTATCCTTCACATGAGTCTGAACCTGAAGCTTGGAGCTCAGTGACTGACACATTATCTCTGAGTTCCACCATTTGGGCTTTGAGAAGGCATTCAGCTCAGAATTTCAGACTGACATCTAATCTGGATAAAAGGAGTTACTTTAAGTATCACTGTGTAACATTAACTCCCAATCCACAACAACACTTTACAGCCTCTGGACAAACACTGATACTCCCTCCTGGGCAGCACGAATAGCGTACTGCATTTCTTCCTCTAAATGCAAGTGTGCATTTATTTTACAAGAAATTTGCTTTCATTTAGAAGTTGCTTTGTAAAATTTGCTTATGAGATTAACCAGAACCGGAATCATTTATTTTTTCTCGAGTCTTGCTGTTAAGAAAAGTATTGCATAAGGAAATGAGTTTATTTTTAATCATGAAACAGAAGTTCAAACTCAGTGAATGTAATGGAAAAACCCCAGCAATTTGTTTCGTCAGGCTTTTCCTTGAGATTTTGATACCAAGGTATTTGTCCTTAATTTACCTCTAATGCTGAAACTTTTTAACATCCCAGTTCTTCTGCATGAACAACTTTATTTTGTAGGAAAAAATATGGTTTTGCAGTCTTTTCATATCATTGCCTTGGCAACTGAATCCTACATCTTTTATTGTTTTTCAAATCTCACCACATTTGAAATAAGCATCTTTAAAGATAATAATGCTGAATGCTTATTTATTGCTGGCTGTGGGCTGGGTACTCTTCTAAGTGTTTTATACGTATTCTCTCAAGGACCGTGAGATCTATGTCCCCATTTAACAGGTGAAGTATTTGAAGCATGGGAGGTTAACCCCTCTGCTCCAATTCACCAAGAGGATCGTGCGAGAATCGACATTTCAACCAAAGTCCGACCCTAACTCGCAGACCCATAACTACTGTTCCCAATGTCTCTACCAGTGCCCCAGTGGCATGCTAATGAAAAAATTTATATTGTAAAAATAAAAGGCAAAATAAAACAGACACACCTAAAATATGGAAAGTAATTTCACTCCACATTTAAGATAATTCACACAACTGGGAAAAGTTTCCAAGGATTATATCTTGAATAAGGAAGAATTTTTTAAAAAGACAGCCAATGTAGTCAAATATCTGAAAAAACTGTAGAATTAAGACTGGCTTTTGTGTCTGTGAATTTCTGGAGGAATAAAGATCCTACCGTAAGAAAATTGTTGGGTGGTAAAAGTGGTATTTAGTTATCAATCTGTGACTTTAATGTGTATCCATTTGCCTTCCCTCGCCGCCATCAGCTTCGAATAGTCCACATCTCAAAGAACCCAACCCATCACCACATAGTTATGGTCTCTCTCTTTCTTACTCATGCATCCAATTTACCACCAATGGTAAATCATTTGGTATCAATGGTAAATCCGTCATTTTGCCTCCTAACTTTCTTTCAGATTTTTCTGGTTCTCTTCATCTCCAACAGCACCAGCCTTTTGAAGATGCCACCATCTCCTCCTGGGCAACTGAAATTTTCTCCTAAGTGTTCAACTCCCATTCTCTGCCACCAATTCGTTTTCCACACTGCATCCAGAGTGATGGTTTCAAAACACGAAGCTGATTGTGTCCTTAATGGTTAATATAATCCAGTTGCTTTCTATCAATTTAAAAATGAAAACAAATCTCTTTAACATGGCCTCTGCTCCCTGTGTCCTCCAGCTCCTCTCTGCCTCCAACTCCCCCTTGAGGAAAATAGGTGTCTGTCAGCTCCAGCCACACAGACCTCAGGTCCTCCGACCTCTGTCACGTTTCCTCCCTCTGTGGGCCTTTCCACATGCTCTTCACAGTAGATGAAAGAATTTTTTCTTTCTTCTTTGTCTACTTAATGCTACACAGTCAGGAGACCTTAATTAATTAATACTAATGCAATAGTTGAAAATTGTCACCGGAAGAAAGTTTTTATTTAATTAACAAATTTGGAAGACAGAAATTGAAAGTATTATCTAAGACATAAGTATCTAAATCTTCCAGTTCCAATTAAATGATGAATAATTGCAAAGCTTCAAGGCAAAAACTTGTTCTTCGTCCACTGTCAAAATGAGTATGGGTTGAAACTGCTTTATAAAGCAAATATAGTTGTGGTTTCAGAACCTGTAAAAGAAAACTAAATGAAATACTATATCATTTAAGATTACAAAATATCACAAGTATAAATGGAATATCCTACCAAAAATCTGTCAGGTTCATCCCACAAATGGAAAGACGTTTCCTAGGAAAACTCATAATATTATTAGTCTCATTATAAACCAATAGTGAGAAGTCTTACAAATGTCCCAAAATATATTCGAAAATGAATATTAAAATTTATTTTTGGATGAGTTGATTACAAAGAACCACGGAAAGAACTTTATACAGGCAGGAGATACTGGAGAAAAGTCTAGCTAAAGGAGCATCTTTCTCATCACAGAGAAAAAATAGTGGTGGCGGGGAGGGTCCCTGTGCCATTAGAACTTGAGCTTTGCCTCGGGACCAGCAGTGAATGCACAATGCCATTCAAGACGAATGAAAAAGGGGGCCAGACAAATAGGGTACCATGAACATTTATAATCTGAGAGAAATATTTAGCATTCTTTGGAGGGTCTATGCCTACTTTTTAACTGCTTTTGCTTTTGTCCAACATGCAATGACTAAGGGGCCACTTTAAACAGAAATTCTCATGGGAAATGCTGCACTTACCCTCTCCCCTGACATTACTTCTGCTGGATGACTCAGCTATTGCTACAAACTTCTTCAGGGTTTGTAATTATAACCCTTTTGCACTTAACAATTCTGCTCATCTTTTGCAGATGTCAGCTCTTTTACCGTGTTAATACTCCTGTTCCTCCTTCGTGAAGATAACGTACAAAAGTAAGCAAAATGAAGAGGTTCACAGCATCTTTGTCTTCATTGCATTAAACTATAACAATTACACATCACCTCTTGGTTTAAACATGTGTAGTTATGCTGCATGAATAC